GTTGGATGCTGCGTAGTGACCCAGTCAGCAAGCACGCAGGTCATGCTTTGCGTTTTGCTTGGCAGACTGATACTAGATTGTTCTACCGCCTGCTCGCCAACACAATAGCCCACGGCCTGAAAACGGCTGTTCATACCATGATCACTCGCATTCCCACTTGAGGCCCGGTATAGGAAAGAGAAAGTAGACAACTCGTATTACTGAAAGGAACATATAGTACGTTGCGTTTATTGGGGCTATTCAACACGGACAACAAGGGCAATGATTGAGGCTGGAAATAATAGGAAAATCACTCCTACAGGACAGTTGGAGCCATACTCGCTTTAACCGTCGAATGTTTTATTTCCGCGTTGGAACCTGTCCTTCTAGCTCTACTTTCTTACCTTCAATGTTGCTTAGACTCATGACAGTATTTATATAATAGCAATTATTATTATAGTAACATGTTTCATGCAACATGGGTTACATGAATACAAACCAGTTTACAGGTTTGATTATTTGGCAATGAGAAATGGCTATTATGTACAGTGTTAAGCTATATACCAGATACCGTTATTCACGGCATATAAGGAGTGTGTGAAGCGGGCTGAGTTCGAAACCAGGTGTTATTCGGTCATTTTTTGAATCTTCCAATATTCTTGAAGGTGTGGCAGGTAGTACAGTCATGACCTTGGGTTGTGTGTGTTCATCACATAGTTTTGATGGCATGGTGCACACTGGCAAATGCGATTTCTAGCATTCTATATGGATGCAGGACTGGTTAGGTAGACCTGAAAAGTGAACAAAAAAAGCAAGCAGCAGACGAAATTCGAAACAGGAGCACAAAAACACCAAATAGGGGTTAGATCAACCCTGATACATCTGAGTGAGGTCTTTGTACTGACTACAAAACCTACTCTAAGAAGTGTCCCAAACCAACTGTTTAGAGGTAAGCTAGGGTGGAAGAAGATGATGGTGCTCACATCAGTAATCAAAATTAGTGTGAAGCCGAAGATATCACTACGAAATAGACAGAATAGAGGATTTTGGACCAAGTATTCACTCTTTATACACCCATGTACAAACGTTTGATGAAGTTATGACCATTTAAGTGAAATTTGTGGTTTTTTCTAAGATGATAACCACCTGTTATCTGGTCACGGGGGAGGGATGATCATGGTGTTGCCAGTTGAGTGTTACCATATCAGGGCTATATAGACAACATAGTGGTGCAGAGTACCTACATGTAAGCCCTGATAGCAAAGGGCAGGTAGTAAAACATGTTGCGTGCTAAAAAGATCCACCGACAAACAGTTCATCTATCAGTCAGGGGTAGAGAGATTATTTTAAGCGAGGAATTTTCAAAAATAGGTGTTAAATCGTGAGGTCAGTTAGGTTATGTAGGTTACATTACAGTAGCTACTGAGTTCACTGCTGCAAGTCGTATCACACTCCGTTTCCTGTGTGCTCTTGGTCTATTTTCAAAAAATCAGATTTTATCTTAACCTATGCGTTTAGTTTTCGGTATTGTATACTTTTGTTACTGCTGTTAGTCTCCCCTGAATCCAGGTACCAGTAGCATCATTGTACATGGTTAAGTTTACGTGTACGTACAGCATATATACGTTTGTCAGGCTGGACCATGGTGGAGCAGCAGTAGTTGCACGTTTATTGGGCTCGTCAGTACCGAAGAACAAGCGAAATAACCAGCAGTCACAGGAGGTTTAGCAACGACTTATGTATCGAATACGACAGTTATTAGCGAACGTTTTTCTACACTTCAGGTGAAGTGTATTGCGAAACTATTACGTCCCGAAGCTAACAGAGCTGGTTGGTGACTAAAATAAGTGTCGCAGACAAATAACTTTTCTTAAAGTTAGTCCTCGTTTTGGTCTACCTGTTTTCTCAGCAGCGGTTTCTTGGGTTCCGCTGTGTATATCAAAATGGGTGTCTCTTTAACGTTCCAGAAGAGGCGTCTGGGAAAAAGAAGCAATATATGCTCCAAGTCTTTCTTCTGTGCAGACAGATCTACCAAACCGCGGAAATAACCGATATAAAATACCACCTTATGCAAGAGCAACGTGACGTAACTTTTGGTGCTCAAAAGTACTAAATCGGACGATTGGTAACGTTGAAGTTATAGTATAACAGATCACTTGTAAATGTAACGCAGGTTACGAACTCACCGCTGCCTCCCAGTTTCGGTAGATCTGTATTTTCATTCTTGCTTGTAATACAGATTTTTCGTCTGTAATCGTCTCGTTCGAAGTTTTACTTTACCTTCATTGTTGTTCCACTCTTCTCAAGATTACGAAGGAAGCTATTACCGTCTTGGCTCTACTTCAGCCGTCTGCTGGAGATATGCTTGCCGCTTGATGGGGGTGCCTTCAGTTTTTGTGAACGTGTGATCTTCACCACTAACTCATCTCTTTAGATACAGAGCTTGATAGTTTGGACCAAAGAATGTAGCGTCGACTGTATAGCGCAGAGGTGACATTAGTGAGGTGCTTTTTGTTGTATGTTGTACAAAGAAGAAGTCGTGCCACAGGTTTCACGTAGATTTCACATGGATTTACCATAAATGTAACCAAATCAGTTGTGTTCTCTTATCCTTGGGGCATATTTTAACGCCGCATGACACGAGGAAGTTAAGCGCACCGAATAACGGGGATACAGCCGTGTAGTTTCAGCCGAATCGAGACCTCTTCTGGATTGGACGCCACGTTATAACTAGAATAATGGAATTTTTCTCGTCATAATGACTATTCTTCCATATTAGACCAGCATCTGTGATACTGCGCATGAAGAAGTGTCATTGTTCACCTGATAAATATTGCTATATCTCTGTGGGCTATGTCAAGCAGATTGATCCAGTATGTGATTACGATTTATGACGGTACACAAGTGCCATAATTGCAGCAGTGGCCATTGATGAGTAGATAAGGTAGTGTGAACACACAATGATAATACTAATACTGCCATTAATAATAATAACAACAGTTTACCCCTCCAAATACACGGGTTCGTCGGCTTGCAGGCTTGATTAAAGGCCAATATCACTAAAATTTAGAAGCTCTTACAGCAATACAGTTTGAAAGTAATTATTTTAGTGTCCAGAAAAATGGAGAAAGTTGGAGTCCATTCGACAACGTTGTGTATATCTATGCTGTGGTTGGTGAGATATACCCATTTTGCGGGGGACATTGATATTAAGTGGCTGCCCAAATCTCAGTAGGTGCGAAGCAGCGTTCTAACCCACTGCACACTGGTTAAAGTTGACTCCAGAAGCAAATTAGACACACCTGAGTGTTCGGATAGAAAGAGATGCGGTAGAGCGTAAAATATGTCAGGCCCCGGCGATAAAAAGACCTCGCACAAAATATCCACCGTTTTCTGCGGGATAGAACTGTTTGGTTGGCACGATATCTAAACCCGAATAATTCTGACCACAATAGCTGAGCCATTTTGCGTAAAGTATCATCCTGTTCAACTGGCTCTGTTAAACTAATATTATTTTTGTGGTCGCTAGCCTATATCCTGTGCATTTTCTCATCCGTAAACATGAATTGTTTGTGCTCCAAAATAGAACGTCATTGGATTTATTTGTGTTCACGACGGTGATTAATGGTGCGAGTTACGAATATTTGAGCATAATAACGAATTCATTGATGCCGGTTTCTCTTCGGTACATATAGGAGAGCCTTTTGCTTGAAGTTATATGATCCTTCGCTTCATCGCCTTGCATAATTCTGAATTTTAGCCATAAAGATATTGGCTTAACTCCTTCGGTGTAAAAATGTCACGAGCTAGTTCATTAGTTTAGACGGCGGCGGGATTGTGCCACTCTAGTTACATTTTTATTTACATATCACAAGAAGCTAGCATCACATATTTTCCGAAGAAAGCGGGTATCAAAAGAAGTATGCAGTTGAGACAGTAAGGATTAAAGTGTAAGCGGTTCCAACCTGGGCTTGAGACCAGATGTGCCGCGTACCTGAAAAGTCAGCGCCCTGCAAAATGTAATGCATTAATGTCTGTCAAATGAAATGATACGACAGGACAATAAAGTCATGAATGACTTGTTATCGGAATGGTGCATCACACATCCAACGTAACCTGGGTGGCAGTTCAATAGTTATTTTTGGCGTCTCAGGGAAGGTATTATTTCCATTAAGTGGTTACGCTCAAGCTGAAATTCAGCGTCGAATTTCCTGATCAAAATGTCTCTGCAAATGGGAAAAAGAAAGAAGCACGCAATCCAGCTTGGAGAAATCCCTATCCTTTAAAACCTGTTCGAACTTTAAGTACATTTTCATGTACGCATGTGCAACCAACTAGATAATTTTTCCGGTGCAAGGTCCGTAAGATTTTCCGTAACTGGGATGCATCGTAGTAGCTTTGAGGGGAAAGCAGTATGCATTTAATTATACACAGGAGGGAAACCAGTACTCACACCCTTGTAAACAATAGCAAACCTATCAGCATAAGAGGAATACGAGGACAGTAGTCGACGACAGTAATGGACGAAGGTTACGCAATGTAGTGAGATAACAGAAGGAAAAATATGGACGATTAGATTACTACCCACTAGCTCAGTGGTAACGTGCTCACCGTGAAAACCGGAAGTTTCAGGTTCAAACTTTACTGGAATCACAGCCGCACGTTGATGAGGAGCCACATATCAGGGCGAAACAGCTGTTGAGCGCTTTCGAGGTGTCAGCGGCCTGGTCAACTGATGTCGAACCGTGACAAAATACCAACTTGATGTATCCAATAGCCAAAAATTTACTGTCAAATTTATATACTAATGCCAGCGTTTTCTGCAGCTTAGCTCATGAAAACCGTCAAACTTGCCATTAGGTAACTGTTAGAATAATCTTACATTTGTGCCTAGTCTAAAGAGAAACTACTGAGAGCTGATCATTACAAATAGACCTCAATGGACATTGATATCATTCCTGGGATTTCATTGCCTGCAACACTTTTCGTACTTCGAATATAGTCTCAAGGGAAACATCCTTGAATTGTGGCGGTAAGGCTTGAGCATTGATAGTGTCATTGTCAGAGTTGGTAAAAGTCACTTTTCCTTCAACAGACCTCGTGACCTTCGGGTGAATCCGCGCGTTTTATAATTAAGAAACGTGATGAACGAATTCTATTGTCACCGCATTCATTTCTTTGAGTATCAACCGTCCCCGTTTTCGTGTCTCGCCAGAAATGATTTTGGTCTTATCGCTGCGGGTCGTCAGGATGGTTCAGTTGATGTCTATGATGAAAACCGTGATTTTTTTATGGTTGCGCATGTTCCACGCGGTGTTTGTTGTTCAGTAGAATCCTTGGTATGGATACAATGCAGACTATTTTGCGCAGGTGCACTAGGCCGTCTTATGGAGCTTGACTTACAAACTTCTAGTATCAAAGGTTCTTGTTTGTTAGTGGGAAACGTGGCAGCCCGATGTATGACTGTATTCGATAACAACATTATTGTATGTTTTCTATTTTGTTTCGACTTTTCTACTTAGGTAGGCAATGATGAAGGATTTATCACATTTTTTTCAGTAGAAGGCGTAGATCCAACGCCCACCATTACGATTCCAAAGCTTTCAGGTATTGCTCCGCTTCGTTACTAACTTTTCAAGGTAAAATCTTGTCCGTTGCTTGTACGGGCACAGAAAAAGCTATTGTGGCAACTGGAACAAGCACTGGTTCTCTTTTGTTGATATCTATCCGGGATGGCATTTCTAAAGTTAGGTTTACGTTAACGGAATCAAAAAAGCTCTGTTTTATTTGGACTCTATTGTTCGCTCGGTAAGTTATTGTCAAATCACTTCTCTAAGATATGAAATACATTATCAGAGGTTCTTTGATACAACCATTGGCAGTTTTAAAGTAGAAGTACTTTACAATAGGCGTTTACTAGACACGAAAACAAATTGGTTAGAAGCGTTTATATGTTTATAGGATCCATTCGGAGATATAGATGCAGTGTAACCCTTATGCTTGTGACTTGTTTCATGTGTTGAGTAGCTTTCGTTTGTCAGCAAGAAACTCCCAAGCTTTTTAGTTTATTTAGTCTTTTTCTATTTTATTCTGGAGCTACGTCATAGTTTGATGGGTTGTAGCATTTTTTGTTATGGTTATGTATCTTAAACCATCGTCATTTATCACTGCTTCTGTGTAGTAAATTTCTAGAAAAGCATTTGGAATTTCACTTTTAATCAGTGATTGAGAGAGCAGTGGAATGTGTCACATCTCGCATGTAGTCTCACCAACCTGAGGTATAGGTAATGGACAGTATTAGAATGTTGTACAGTTGTGTGTCTTAGTGAAATTACTTTCTTTAGTACGCTCGGTAGTTAGAAATGTCAGGGTTTAGTAGAGATAAGCTTTTCCAAAAAATCATCGACGGAAACTCACTGCGTTTCTCAGCTGATCTATTCCATCAATCTATAACTTGGGAGATGACTTTTAACACATTCCATCTGCTAAGCTGGATATTTTCTCATATATCTATTGGCATATTTATTTACTTGGCGCACGATATATTGCTCCTTGGTATTAACAGGATCAGTCGTAAAATTTTATTGTAGCTGTGCAGATATAGATTAGAGTATTTGTAAGTTATAATTTACTCGTAACTATTCCGCCCAAAACAAGGTTGTGTAGATTCCCAGTAGCCAGTTAAGTGGTTGTTGAGTTGATTGGCTCAGTTCGTGTCACTCATTAACGATTACTCTAAATTCTTTTAGATATCATCTGTGCACTCATTTCCCTTAATATCTATGAAATTTCGCTGATAGAAAGTCTGAATAAATGTTAATTGAGAACGTCGTTAACTGTCCATCCTACTCACTGGCTGTTTGTTGTTTATAAACTTCCAGATGACTAATAAACATGAAACTAGAGCCACCCAGACTGTTTGAGCTTGGTCATGGGATTTCTACTCTGGTATTTCACTCCCTTCAAATATTAAGGTGTTGGTATGTTTACTGCCACTATCCAAAGCTTCATCTATTGACCTACAAATTATTAATGACGTGTTCGGTTGACTGTTTACCTATGGGGTTGATTGGAAAGTTTATCGCATTGATGAGTGGTATTAACTCGATTATAGATGTACTTTAGTGAATGCCAGTATGTCTGTACTGAAGTACGCGAACGTTGAGCAATCTTCAGTCAGTACACTCACTTAGCATTTTGGACATTCGAATATAAAATGTATTTTATTTTATAGTTGTGCTAACCTATACTGACCTATGTCCAAGGTACTTAGGAAGAACTATTCACTAAGGACGTGTTCACTGCTTGCACAGATCTAAAATATCGGACTCGGACTTTAAAAACCCCACAGGAGAGATCCAATCACTCTCAAAGAGTTACTTGGGTAGATACAACCAAACTAAAAACTTGCACAGAAGTGCATCACTTCAGGTTACTACACTACAGTGCCATGCATAGAATGAGTGGTCGTTGACAAAGTACACAAAGGTCTAACTGCCCGGTTTCCCACATCGTGCAAGTCGTTTCTGTGATGTGTTTGTAGGCCAAAAGGCACTAGTCAAATATGACTACAAAGCCTGTGGTATCCGCTATTTTGAAAGTCTGGCATTTTAGTTTGGTTGTGTTGAATCTAACTAAAAGATCCTTTTCGCTCGCACCTAAGGACTGAAGGGTGGGAAGGAGTGTGTTGTTTTTGGTGTCTGTTTCTAACCTCCATTCCCGTGGAAAAAAGAGGATCAACATGGAATGATGGTTGCTCGATTGGCTTTTGCCAATTTGCGCCACCTATGGCGTCGCCGTGATGTTCGTTTGTCTATTAAGGGTCGCGTGTACTGCACAGCAGTCCGGTCTGTTCTACTATATGGCTGTGAAACATGGCCATTGAAAGTGGAAGACATGAGAAGGTTACAGGTATTTGACCACCGTTGCCTTCGTAGTATAGGACGTATTCCGTGGTGTCACCATGTGAGTAATGCAGAAGTTAGGTGTAGAGTTTTAGGGAGAAGAGGTAAGTCAGTCGACGAGGTTGTGAACCTTCATCGACTGAGATGGTTGGGACACGTACTACGTATGCCTAGTCACCGATTGCCTCGTCACACAATGTTGGCTGAGGTGGGTTCAGGCTGGAAAAAGGCCCGAGGTGGCCAGACTAAAACATGGCACCAATGTATGAAGTCTCTGACTGTTGGTCTAAGCCATGTAGGACGATGCAGACTAGGTGGTTGGGGTCCGCGGGACAAGAGGAACCAGTGGTTGGAGACCCTAGGTGATATGGCTCAGAACCGAAGTCAGTGGCGCAGATGTATACACACATTATCCTCATCTTAACAACGCTATACCGAATCTCACTATTTTGTCACTCCTCTTTCCTTTCTTCTCGTACTTTATATTTCTTTTGACTGCATTCACTTATCTTCATCCTTCACCTCACTATTTCTTTACTTGATGTGCTGATATGAGGTGTGGCAACTCGGACCGTTACGCAGTAATGCCTGGTCCTATGTTGATAATGATGATGATGATGATGATGGTTGCTCGTGGAAAGCACTACAACTGTCACAATTCATCCAACCAACAGGACTGCTTCATCATCAGACCTTCATTATAGCCTAGCTGTTTAAACTGTAATGGGAGCTACTTTTAACAATGTTATCCAACAGACTTTTCTGATGTGGCTAAACCTCAAGGAACAAATGTTCTAGTCAGTATATCTCACAGAGTCACTGTGGTGTGCAAGCCTAACCAACATGTCGATGAAGAAGCTATCGGTTGGGATAGGATTATTCATGTACATTGCAGGTTAACGATTTTATGGGTAGGGTGTTGAATAGAAAATGTCAATCGGTTGATAAAGTTGTTAGTTTTTATCTGCTAAAGTTTTTCACTGGGTGTATTGAGTTTATCTAACTGCCGTCTACATGAAAGCATTGGGCTAGCTGGTGAGGCAGTGGTGTTGGAGAAGCTTATAGTTAGAACGTAAAACGGACCTATCGTTAATTTTAAGCTGCGGATATCTGTCACATTTTACTGATTTTGTCTGTCCCCTTGTCGCTGAGTTCCTCTATTTATCTGGTGTTATAATTCAGCCCTAGCTGCCTACCCTTCGATTTCCATTAGATAATTTATTATATTATTATATTTTATGCCCCCTTTTGTATAATTTAATAACAAGTAGTCAATATGCACTCACATCAGGACTTTTGTCACCGCTATCGGGGAAAGTGATACCAGTGGCCTTCAAAAATGCTTAGTATGAAAGCTTTTCACTTTGGTAATTACAACAGTGTTGTGTCAGTCTTGAATATTTAGTTTTGAGATCTTACACTTAACTGGTGTTGCTTCTTTTGAAGCCAGATTCATCTATTTTAATCCGTCCATGAGATAATGGGTAAAAGCAGCAAGTGTAAATGTTAAGTGTAATAAGTTGAGCAGGTTAAACTACTCGAAGCTTTTTACTTGTGATAACCTGGAAGAAGATAAGGTATGTGGTAATACATAGATTCCCCACTCATTTGCTTCAGTGTTCGACTTTCAAGCAACCGACCCTGGATTCAAATTCTTCTCAACCTATTTTAGATTCAGTAACTCACTAATGTAGTAAGGCTTCACATAATGAGTGTAATCCGGTTATAAACGTACCACGTTGAGTTACATTAAAAAAAAATCGTATAGTAGTACAGGTAGACGTTTTTCTGGAAGGTAGAAAGTGAAGAAGTTACTAAGAATTTTCACTTTAGCTGTATGAGTATCGAAATTTTTCGGTATATGCTATTGCAAGGATCTGCTTATCAAGATAACCCACACAACCACTAGAATAATATTGTAGATTTTGATCTGAAATTGTGAATCGTTAAATTTTTGAGTATCGAAAACTAAATTCTCATATGTGATGATTCCTGATTTTATGCAGCACTCATCTCCTCCGCAACTTGTAACCCATTTTATCATGTTTAGAATAATGGTTCTCTAACTCACTTTCAACTTTCAATGTCTGCACTTAATGTTACTTCATCACAGTACCGGAAAGATTTTGAAAAAACGAAATCATTGAAAATCGTGGGAGCCTACATAGTAGAAAGAGGATGGTGAAAACAAATGTCGAAATTGAAAGTGGTTTAGTTTTCTCTGAGTCTGAGTATAGTTAGTAACAAATATTACAGTCCCATTCTGACAGAGATTATTTCTCAAGGTGGCACAAAATATTTAAATTCAAACAGATGTAGTTACGATAGAAATCTCCCAAACTAACAGACTATATTCAAGGTCAGTGGTTAGAAAGGCTTTGCAGATACTTGCTTTTCAACCCTGGTTGATCGAGATTGCTAATAAAAGATGAGGTACAATATAAAAGCGTTGTGTAGGTTGCTAGTACTACCAGTCTCCTCTCGTAATGCAGCGTTGACATCAGTTATTTTTATATTAAACTTATTGCATGTTATGACTATAATCAGCTTGGTCTCTTCGAAGAAAAGCTGACGGTTTTCTGAAAAATCCCTTCACACAACTCGAGCCGCAATCAGGAATTGTTATACCCTAAAAGCCCACAGTTGTTTGCGTGCAAACTCAAAATGTTGATAGTGTCATGAGTCGTAAAACTGAGTAAGGGAACACTCATACCTCGAAATTTTATGTCTTCAAGACAATTTATCCTCTTGGCTTATAAAGCATTTTGCGTATTCCCACAAAAGTCACGTTTTCATAATTATTTGGAACACAGTTCTCGGTGTATTTTTTAGAAGAAGCCAAGAAAGCCATAGCTGAGTTGGACAAATTTCGTTCAAGATAAATTTTGTATTCAGGGCAGGTGTAGAATATAAAATCTTGCTAAATCATTTTCCTCACTTTCTACTAGCACTGAGTGAAAATGAAGTCTTCTAGATTGCAGGTGTAGGAATGTTTTGGACAACCAGTCAGCATGAAAATCGGACATGACATTGTTGTGAAGCGATATGAGTTGCCCAACTTCACATCATCACATCAAGGTAAGAGGGACCAAGATGCACGTTGGAAAAATATTAACAGTGATCAAAAGTAGTAGAAAGTCACAAAAACAAACGATAATGAAGCTTGACATAGCGATTAGGATGAATATAATGTGTTTGCCCCACTAAGATCGATTCTAGGTCACATCGCTTAGGGTCTCCAATCACCCGATTTAGGTTGTCACACAGACTGCAGTCGAAAAGTTTACATCTCTATACATGGCTTAGATCATTAGTCACCGACTTCATGAATTGATTCTGTTTTGATTTGGTGACCTCTTAACGTTTTCCGACATAAATCTACTTCAGCTGAGATTGCACAACGGGCAAACTTTGTCTAGCTATGCCTAGTGCATGTCATACCAATTTGAGTTGATTATGGTTTACAACTTAGTCAACTAAAGTTTCTCTTCTACATTAACCTGTACGCCTGATTTCCACATTCCTTTTGTGCATAACTCCGTGACCACTAAGTGGAGAATTTCGGATGAGTGTCTAGAGTGAACAAAAGTGTTTCTCATATGCGAATAGCTCTTTTAGCAAACACTAACAAAGACAAACGGTTCGTGGGAGGCTTAAATCTTTCACATTGGTTGTCTACTCGGGCTTTTAAACTCTTACCGAGATCAAATTAAGTGATTTCATCTGTTTTCGTTCCGTTACCGGGCTCCGAGAGAGGGATTTGAAACTTCAGTTCTAAGTTCAACCAGTCTTCAATGCTCCAACTAGTTTATTGCAAATCAAGCTTTTGCATAGAGTAGGGAATCTACGAGTTTTGTTCTGTCCTCAATCATACTATCACTAACATTGATGTGTGGATGAAGTGGTATGTTATCCACTAAGATACCAACCACACAGCAGTGTACACAGCATGGTGTTCAAAGAAAACTTTCATTGTTAAAGTAACTCTTAATGTAGTGTTTGTTATTTCGACGTATAGGTACTATTTTCCACATAAGTTTCCTAACCTCAGCTTCAAGTTAGTTTTGGTTGTAAAGTTGACCGCTTCATAAGGTGACTGCCGTTCATCTTCTAGAACCATTTGTCCCAGTTTCACGTTATCCCTTTCAGTTTGTTCTATAGCTGAATGGAACTCTTCTTAATTCTCCAGTTCATGAGTATCTAATTATTTATCATTTTTAAGGCAAAGATATTCAGATGAATGAGTGGCACGAACTAGGTTTGCGCGAAATATGATTAATGGTTGCCCGAAATTAATATATACGGATGTAAAGAAATTTACACATAGTGTACCATACGTCAGGTTGGTTGCTCTCTTATTTTCAATGTAACAACCATACATATGATGAAAGTTATGATTCACAAGAAACGGGTTCCGAATAGCGGACATCTTTGATGTCTGGTCTAGATAATTTCACAAATGGCTTGTTTGGTTGGCTAGTCGAAATCGGTAAACTTTAAAGAAAGGTGCACGAACTATGCGACCCAATCTATTATCCTAAACTTTAGAACGGATACTTTTCGTATTAATTTTTTATCGGAAAGGTATAAACGATCCTACGTAAAATTGACTTGTAGGTTTCACTGCATTTTTCCTATAAATTTTGTCTAAGCTATCATATTTCTGCGAAATTCTCCTACACTTTTTAGTGGTTTACTGTTTTCTGGAGATAGCAGAGGTGTAGTCAGTATTTGGGATATATCTGTTGGTGGTCAATTGTTCAGTTTCTCCTGTCATCATGCTGATGTTCTTGCTCTGGCTTCTAGTCCCGATGGTTCCGTTATTTTTAGTGGTGGAGCGGATGCCTTAATAAGAAGATTTGAATTTTCAGTATCTGAAAATGGAGAAGGTATTTGTGTTACTATTGAATTTTAAGCTTATTTTTATGGGAAATAGTATGTGATCGCTAACCAATTACTATTTATTCTATTTTTATAATCGGAATGAAACTTTTAGAAACATTTGTTCTCAAAACCACCTGCTCTGCAGTAAATTGCGCGACCAAACTGAATATTTGGCTCTCGACTTTGGATATGATTATCGCATTACAATTGACTAGTAACTTCCTGTAACCCTCAACTGAGTGAATATGAAAAGGTCGAACTACTGACCAACTGAGTGTGTATATTATTATCATCACTTGTAAAGAACTCTGTAGACATGATAAAGTCAGTACTGGTCCACCGTCAGATCATAAAAGAACAATCAAGGATAGCACGAAGGTTGATGGAGAGTCAGTACATTCTTGTCAGTGGACATATGCACTGTCAGTTACCGTGTACCTTTTTAAAAACTGATTGACTAAATAGGGTACTTGAGCAATAATTAACCATACCCTTACACCTTAGTTTGATTAAAATGTTCTGGTTTGAAGTGATCAAAATTGTATTTAAGCGTACGTATGCATTTTACCATTATTGTGTCATATTACAGTTAGTGAAAACGTCATTACTGTATGGTTGTTCATTTTCCGACATCTATCGTAGCGAACAAAAATGCAGTAAACAGTATGGTTTTGAGGTTTTCGGGGATTGATTAATCTCAAGGTGGCATTCACCACTGAATCCCAGTTTTCCAAAGGTTTGTCAACTGATTCCACTCAATAAATAGTCATAAGAATGATACAGCTCAACCGGTTACATATATATATATATATATATATATATATATATATATATATATATATATATATATGCATACCAGGCTGTCACAGTAGTTTTATGAAAGCTTACAGTACTGCGTGGTGGCCCAGGCTGAAGTAGGTGGAGCAAAAGTACAGTTAGACAATTACTGGTAGAAATAAATTTCTAGTCATATAGCTTTTCTGTTGTCCTCAATTTACTACTCGTGATGTTGGTGGTGATGAACGTTGTTCCAAGACTCAGAGGACGCCTAACCATCATCATTTCATCGACTACTTGTTATTCAGTGGTTGCTTCATAATTACTTTCCATATCTTGATCACATTTTTATCTATAATCCATAGGTAATATACTTCAAAACAATTAAGTTAGGTACCCGGGGTTTTACCTTGTGATATGCACTCATTTTGGTTTTGGGATTATTACCACTCACATCTGTTGTATTTGTTATATATTCCGAGCGGATAAGATACGCGCGCTTAACTAACAGGTAATTTTGTACTCAAGAGCCACCAAGTGCAACTTGGGGCAAATAGAGAAGAAGACTGAAGCTGGATGGGAGAGTTTATTTCCTCCGAGGATAATAATCACATACATGAGATATGACCTTTTCCGGAAATTGAGATATTAACGAATCAGCGAATTACCTTGCAAATGGGGGCAAAAAATAAACTACTGGCTGGGCTGTAAAAAATGGAGCAAAAACGACAATTTAAAAAAAGTTCAGATTAATAACGATGTTTTATACAGAATTGAGGTCTTCTAACGGTATTTATAAATTTGGCGACACCAACATATCTATTTTACAATGTCAGTGAAAGGTATTCTTTCGTTCAGCAGTCAATTCAGTATTTTTGTCAGCAATACGCATAAAATAACACGGACTTTCGCTTCATTGGTTTATCTTGATACAGTTTAGTGCTTAATCTATTGTGGTCTGCCTGCTTTTTTTGTATTCACATATGATATGCAACCGTACTAAGTAATGTCAATGACGATAATGATAGTATCGTGTTGTTAGTTATCAACTTTCATAAAGTCCCTGGAAATGTTGCTTTTGAAAAGGCTGTTTCCATGAGGTTTGAAACACTAATACATCTCTCTTTTTGCAGAAGATGGGAGAAAGGATTCTAGGGTAAAGTGTTATTAACTATGGATGGCTATCAGCTACTAAGATGTGCAGTTGAGAGATGGAATATATTTTATAGTTGATCTTGTCTTCATCTTATATTTGTCTTTTGTACAGTTTATTAGGTGAATGAGTGTGCTTATCTGACGCAATACACTTCAATGAATCGTAGTGAACGAGACATGAATCTAGTTGTTTATTTGTTTTCTGCTAAACTGAGATTATTCACCTGCTAACATTAACGAACAGCGTTTTTGACTACTGTCGGTATTTTTTGTTCTCCTCTTCATTTAAACATATTGTTACTCTACTTTGTGGTGGCTAACTGTGGAATCCAGGACGTGTCTTTCTTCTTCGCAGATTTATGAGCATTTTAGTGAATGATGCTGTTTCAACTAAAACCTAAGTCAACCACCGATCACTCTAAACTTCAGAGCGTTATCTACAAAGCTACTGAGTCAGAATTGACCAACTGGCGAGTTTTAAATAGGATTAAATGCGTGCTCTAGATCCTACTGATAGCTACCAGCAAGCAAATAACGTCGGAATGAAAATTAATTCTAGCGATTGTTAGATTTTTAATACTACTGCTTCTTGTTTTCAGGTCATTGGCAATGTAGTGGTTTGATAAGGGGTTGTCGACGTGATATTCATGCGATAGCATTCATTCCAGGTCATCATCATGATCCCAGTAGAGACCATTCATTTTCAGACAATCGATTCGAACCTCATCGTCTTGTTGCCGTTGGACAAGACGCACGTTTGCAGGTGTTATCATGTGAATCAGCTGAAATGGGTGATGGGGCAGTTGCTGAAGCTGAAAAAACCTTGGCTACCAATGTTGGAAGACCACGAAGGGGGCAGATAGGAGATATCGCATATGTTGCTGCACTACCATTCTGGCCTGCTTCTGTTGCACCTACCTATCCTGCACCCGCGCGCTTTATAGCTCTAGCTAAAGGATCAATGCATGGAGCTTTTGGTGATCAAACAGATGCCTCTCGTCACTTGTGTCTTTTGCACTATCAAGACAGACTGTGTTTAGTGCGTCTTGGTAAACCGCTAACATCTGGTCGTAAAAGATGTTTCCATGGATTTTGTTCTATGAGCCTTGGTCCACTTCAAATAGTTGAAATTCGTCCTTCGAGAGGTATGGAATTTATTGAGTCTACTTTATCTCCTTGTGGACTTTTTATTGCTTATAGCGACTTCAGACAGACTCGATTGCTCAAATTAGATGTGGTAAGTCTAAAAGTGTTCACTTTTATAGTTATTTTTCGGTAACTTTTCTTTTTCGATAGGATGTTCTCAGCCTTAGGTCTTATTGATGCTTAGTAGCCTTAAACTTGAGCATGGGTGTGCATTAGTAAATCTTTTTTTCTGTCATGAAAAATAGCTTAATATCTTATACGTAAGGAATTCTCATTACATTGATCACATGGGAAGTTTTTATTTTCCATCTGTTTATTTGTTCATCGAGAAAAAGTTTCCAGTGGTCCATGTTATCATACTTGCGTCCGACACAATCTCTGTATGGACGTAAAAACATTTTGGAAAGATTAATAATAAGGAGCAGAGTATAATCTGTAATTTGAACTCAGAGAAACTTAGATAAAGGGCAAAAATATCGAACTTATTCTTAAACATCTGTATGAAGAGAGTAACAGAACTCTAGTTTCGTAGTTTAGACTAAGGTTTTGGTGAAGCAATGATTAGGAGCTGCGGCTCTTTGGTTCAGGAAGATAATAATAACAATCGCTTTATTTTAAACAATATGTATGATGCAGTATGGAATTCTCATCATATAGTATTTCAAGAAAATCACTCCTAGACCTAGTATTTTCAAACGAAATGCTTATTGGATCCTAATGATGTTAATAATGGCAGTATTGAAAGGAATAATGGTGTTGGGTTAGCGTCCGGTGTCGAATAGGGAATGAGTAGAAAAGCAAGTGTAATTTTATTGGTGGCGGTTCACTCAACCAGAACAAAAATCTGCAATCCTCGTTAAGTATCCGAGGGGTAAAAATATGATATACTTTTCCGACTAAAAAGTCTATTCGGATCTAACGTAACATTTTTTCTTTGTTTTGTCATAAACTCGACAAAAGGTGGGTTGAAAATATTTAAAGATGTCCACAGGTACATAATGCTTTAAGATGACAAGTTTAAATGACTTGAATAAATTGAAAGGAGGGAATTTGATGTATACGTTCAGTGGAAATTTTTTTGAACCCAAGATTCAAGCAGGCTGCCGTGACTTTCGACCATTGAGTCATTGGTTCGAACGTCGCTGTGCCTACCGAGGTTTTGGCAGCCCTCATACAACAGGTGTGGCTCACTGCCTACTTCACGAGTGTGCACTGGGCGGTTGAGTGCATTTAGATTTTTCTTTTTGAAGGGATAGTTTCTGTTTCATCACACCGAGTTACAAGGGTTTCTGACCTTGGAGTTCACGTTCTTACCAACTGTCATATTATCTGCGAGTCATGAAGACAGTTTCATCAAACTAACTCTTACAAATAGTGCTAAAACCGTTAGTACGACCTAGCAGAATACGAACAATACCAAACTAACGCTCAAACGAATCGACTCTATCGCAAATCAGAACGTCAACAATACCACCGACGGGTGAGGGCACGAAGCGAACACAGAGATTTTTACTGTCTCAACAACAGTCAACACAATCAGCAGCGATGCTGAATATATACATTTCTAAATGACCTTGACGACACTAAATCCACATATAAGTAAAAATAGTTAACAACCAATGACAGTTTAGCCTTGAAAACAGAGGGAAGAAAAACTAGTAACAGTGTGAAAACAGCCATGTAGGCTATTTTAAGGTGATGAACTTAAACAGGAGGTAAGAGCTGTGCAAAATTAGGGATATATTGCTTATGGGCGCCTGCCTCTCATCACATACATTTTTGTGAGTAGTGGTTGAACATTGACAAAATATTTGATTTTGATTCGCTTAACTTTATATAACATTCTTTGATTTATGGATACATGTACAAAAAAATAACTAAGGTGTGGTATCAACTACCGTTTTGAGGACTGACGCAACTTTGCAAAAATTTAGCTTGATTTAAATGTTGTATGTGTCCACAGCTTTGTATCTCATCGATTTGATTCTGAGTGGGAAATGAATCTCGTTGAGATTTCTGATATTTTTGATATTGGCTAACTTTAGCAGATGCGGAATGCACGTCTGAATCATTCTGCCATCTGGATTCGACTTACAATAACATATGAAGATCATACGGCATGTACATAAGTAGTATTTCCTTTTTTTGTTTGAGCTACGGTTCACTGACTTAATTACGGAACTTTCAGGTAATGGGTCCAGAATTGAAACCTCACTCCAGAAGAATCGGGCAGTATCATTTGTAGAAAACGACAAGACAGACACAGGAAGGAATGTTTATCATTGATATCTTGTACAGTAGTGATGAAGTATTGTACACTTTCCACTAAAACAATCATTTGCAACACAATCAGCTTCATTTCCTCATCTCCTTCTATCTCGATTCCCTTTTAGTACGTCCATATTGTCTCTTGGGTTTCTCTAGGCAGAATCCTTAACCTATTGATTTCTGACATCCTTTCAACATATGCTACTTACATCCGTTCTAATCAACAGCGCCTACTACAATATGACAAGCTTCACACACTATACATAACTCATGATCAAGTCAGATAAATGAGTTGGGTTTACTCTTTGTCAGTTCTTTACGGTTGATAACTGATTCCATTTTGTGTGTTCCCTAGTATTATTTTATAGCGTTTTATTGATATTTACTATGAAAAAAACGATAACATCATAACTTTATTCATATAAAGGGATTTAAAAGAAAACGAGGAAGTTTTTGTGTATCAAAATCAAAAGTTAAACTAGTTGAATGGCAAACTAGTTTACAGAATTCAATTAATCTTTCAATAAAGTCTCGAGATAAAAAAGTAATACGTTTGGATAGTTCTGGCAAATCATCGTCCAATACATCATCTTCAGAGGCAGAAACAGATATAGATGAAATATTACACGATGATGATATTTTGGAATATTTTACAATGGATAAGTCGTCTTCCAAGAAGGATAGTATTTTATCTAATGATGATTCATGTGATTTTTCACCTACAGAACAGAATAAAGTTTCTGGGATAACTCTTCCACCTTCCTGTTTAATGACTTTCACTGCAAATTCTGAAAATCTTCTACTGGTCACCCAAAAGACTGGAAAATTCATGTGTATATCTGTTGACAATGGTAATATCTTATGGGACCGTAATGTTGATCAAGGTATGTATGTCTAACCTGTTGTACTTTTTGTTTGTGAGGGAGTTTCCTCTGTGATGAGTTATTCACTATATAGTGTGATTGTATTCTCACTAGGCTTTGTGTGTGTGTGTGTGTGTAAAACGTGGGGACTATGTTAGAATATAATTTCATATGTGATAGGGTATTATATTTACTTGGTGATGTTTCGAGCGTCAGTGTTTGCTCCTAATCATATCAGAATAATCAGTGAACTCCAGTTTTGCTTTTATACCAAAGTCAGCTGGAAAGGCGTTCATTCAGCAATGATGTCCATCCCAAAGAAATGAAGTACCAAGAAGCTTTGCAGACCTGTACACCTCTCAGACAGTCAACGAATACAATCGAATACTTTGTGCACTAGTTCTTTTCCCAATGTGTAATGTCCTTGTGCATAATTATTTCCAGCGTCTTCCTTCCCACTGATCATTTGCTCAAGATGGAGTAGCTGTTTATAGGAATCTGTGCGCAGTCTATCGATTACAGATGGTTCCAGGTCAACAAGCATACCACGTGGAACGTAACACCGATAGCTGGTCTCACTGAAAAATGTACTCAATGAGTTGTTGTCGTTTGCCATCGTCCTATAGTCCGTAAGTTTTCTATCAAGCTGTATACCATGTTCAAGACAGTAGTGCTCCCAACAGGAGTCACCCATTTGGATCCCAGCTTGACCAATATGAAGGCTGATACATTCTTTTATTTTTATTGCAAACCTTTCCCGACAGATTCCGCTAACACAAAAATCAGATGTCGAAAGTTGTGTGATTACTTTAATATGATTAGGAGCAAGGACTTATGCTCAAAACTTCATCAAGTAAATATAATACTGTATGATTGTGCGTTATATAATAGATCTAATATAGAGAAAGCTTTGCTGAATGATGCTGATGTCATCAAAGTTAACTGTATGACATAGGAGTGTAATGTGTATGGTGCAATGACTTGAGTGTTCTCTAGTCTCCTTAGCTGCGTATATCTTATTGATAACAATTCCTGTGGTTCCAAGTTTTTCTTTTCTTCCTCTCTTTTCTTTCTTGAGAAATACTAACTCACTATGGTTTTTCTCTGCAGTTCGATTTTAAGAAATTCTTATGTGATTCACATACACTGTACACATTAGTGTAATAGTCTACAAAACACGTTTATTTTGTGGGGGCTTATGCTACTACGCAGTTGCCCGAAACTAAAGTAGATTGAGCGCGATTTCAACTCTAGGCCAAATGCTTTAACCAATGGGCCATGTCTTAGTTGTATTTTGAAGATGATCCCTGATATTTCAAACTGCTCTTGCCGTGTGATTAGTAAATAGCTAATACAATTCTTTCTTTTGACGAACTCCAAAAGAAAAGCAACTTAAGTCTTTGCAGGAATTGGCGAGGAATCATGCTCCTGTCCACTGTGAGCAAAATATTAAGCCCTATCATCCTGGAGAGACTAAAATGTGCTGTACATTCAAAATTACTCTCGGAACCTGCTGCAACTCTTCAGGAAGAACAAATCATGTGCGGATCAAGTTGAAACGATACGCTACACTACACTATGCATCATCATAGACCAGAGCAAAGAATGGCAGTCAACTCTCTACTTCAACTTCATCGACTTTGAAAAGACCTTCGACAGCACCGACTGAGAAGTAATTTGTCAGGCAGCTGCTTCAATACTACGGTTTTAGTGTCACAAACCTTTATCAACCTCATTCAACAGCAGCTATATGCTGTCCCGTATGATGATGCTACACGCCAAGTGATTCACAACGGAAAGCCCAGTGACGCCTTAAAAGTGGAGACAGGAGTAAGACAATGTTACCGCCTACTATCACCGATGATCTTCCTGATTGTGGTCGACTGGACTGGACTGGATTGGATTGGATTGTGCAACAAACTGTGAGGAGCGTGAAGATGGGCACAGTCTGTTTGACCGATGAAAGACCCCAGAAGGAGATTTGAATTTCGCCAACGATGATGATTTATGTCTAATTTGTTGTCGCACAAACTCGAAGCTCTACGGGCGGAAACTAACAAGTTGGTAGGAGAGGCGAGGCGAGGCAGCGAAGGAAGATGGGACTTTTTTCAGGTGAACATGGAGAAGACAGGTGATGAAGATACCCAACCAACAACAACCGAGAACAACAAGCACCAATCACCATGAACGGGAGAAATCTGAAGGAAGTGGTCTCTGTCATCTACCTACCTAGGTAGCATCGTTTCAACTACAGGCAGTGGAGGCACAGATGACGGTGTCAAAACCCCGATAGGAAATATAACAAGACAAGCCTTCATGCAATAATCTGAAATCAGTGTGGAGATCTATTGCACTGCACTGCACTGCACTGCACTGCATTCAGCATAAAGCGTGAACAAGATCTCGATTTTTAACACCAATTCAGTCAAGCAACTCAGTGCTTCTATGTGATGGTTCAGAAACTTGGCGTATTACGACAAGCATTTCGAAAAAACTGCAGGCATACATGAGCAGCTGCCGCCTACGCTCTCTTACTCGATGCTGAAGATCAGATCAGAAGGCCAGAAAGACTGAGCAACAACGAACTCTGGCCGGGCAACGAACAAACCAAGAACCTATCGCCAAACAAACATGCACAAGAAGGTGGAGATGGATTGGGCATACACTGAGAAGGCCGATCAGGGACACCACGCGCCAGACCAGGTCCTCGAGTGGAATGCAAATGGTAAACGACGAGTTGGGCGTCCGAGGCGAGGGTGACATGGAGGAAATCATGTGAGGAAGAAATGAAAGGTAATGGTCAGTGGTGGAGCCAGGTTGAGAAGACTGGAGAGAAGAGAGTCAAATAGCTATGTGCTACTGAAGCCCTAAGTTCCACTAGGAACCCAAGGGAAAAGCAATAATAATAATAATAATAATAATAATCGGATTAGATAAATTTTTAAAGTAACAGCTAGATAAAGGCTGATGAATTTATCTAATACGTTCATCACCTCACTTCCACTCATCAGAATTATGAATATATGAACGGTAAGGTACGAACTACCTACTAATTACACCCACTAGAAAGACAGTTCTCGAATTCTGCCGAGAGAACCACCACTCGGATTGAAAGCAGTGATCAGCCTATAATATTACTATCATTAACTATAGCTTACTAGAAAGAAAACATACTTTTACCACACATCTTACAAGAAGCGCTTTCAAGGAAGATCCAGGAGAATTTCAATTATCATTCTACTGTATGTTAGCTGCCTATATATGAAATCCACTGTTATTATTAACACCATATTGAAAGAAACAATGAAATATCGTAAGATATAATAAATACTACTTTTTTAAACTACGGTTAGCTTATATATCCTCACCAATACCGAACATGATGAATTTGCTATTCAGTTTAGGAGTTTGTGGAGATTCTATTGATTTCAAGTTGGTATTTATCATGGACTGAAATCAGTTGAAAGAACATTGAAAACCTGGCAGCACTGGACATCTTTTTCGTCCCAGTACGGGACTCCTCAGCAGTATTCATGACCCTGCAATTCACTTTCTAGTCTCTTATCCCATCGACAAGCTCAAAACTATTTCTTACACTCAAAAATAGTGAAACCAAAGCAAGAACTGTATTAAATCATTATTATCAATATATTATTTGTCCCTTGAGTTCCTAGTGGAACTTAGGGCTTCAGTAGCACATAGCTATTTGACTCTCTTCTCTCCAGTCTTCTCAACCTGGCTCCACCACTGACCATTACCTTTCATTTCTTCCTCACATGATTTCCTCCATGTCACCCTCGCCTCGGACGCCCAACTCGTCGTTTACCATTTGCATTCCACTCGAGGACCTGGTCTGGCGCGTGGTGTCCCTGATCGGCCTTCTCAGTGTATGCCCAATCCATCTCCACCTTCTTGTGCATGTTTGTTTGGCGATAGGTTCTTGGTTTGTTCGTTGCCCGGCCAGAGTTCGTTGTTGCTCAGTCTTTCTGGCCTTCTGATCTGATCTTCAGCATCGAGTAAGAGAGCGTAGGCGGCAGCTGCTCATGTATGCCTGCAGTTTTTTCGAAATGCTTGTCGTAATACGCCAAGTTTCTGAACCATCACATAGAAGCACTGAGTTGCTTGACTGAATTGGTGTTAAAAATCGAGATCTTGTTCACGCTTTATGCTGAATGCAGTGCAGTGCAGTGCAGTGCAGTGCAATAGATCTCCACACTGATTTCAGATTATTGCATGAAGGCTTGTCTTGTTGTATTTCCTATCGTGGTTTTGACACCGTCATTTGTGCCTCCACTGCCTGTAGTTGAGACGATGCTGCATATTTAGATTAATCCAGTGATATAGAAAATCAATCACGACTCGGATAGCTGAGTTGTAATGTCTTTGATTGCATCACTGAGTGATGCGAGTTCGAATATCAGGAGGGACATAAGTTCCGTTGAGGTTGCAAATACGCCTTGCTGATAAGTGTGAAAAAACACAACATTGGGTTCAGAACATCCTACCGATTGCCTCCAACCAACCAACATGTTACATTTTCTGTTAAGAAAGAATGCAGTGGTTGTATGAACTTCTTGAACAGAAAAGCTTGATTGAACAATGGGAAGTTGATCAACATCTGCTGACCAGCATAACTACTCTTTGAGGTTCTTATCTTTGAAATGCAAATAGTTTTTAGTGAAATGCTTGGTTCATTAAGCCGGATTTATCTGCCAAGACTACTTTTGCAGTGACATTTGAGAGCTATTGTAGTGGGCGCTGCTGATCAGAATGGATATAAGTAGCATATGTTGAAAGGATGTCAGAAATCAGTGGGTAAAGGATTCTACCTAGAGAAACCCAAGAGACAATATGGACGTACTAAAAGGGAATCGAGATAGAAGGAGATGAGGAAATGAAGCTGATTGTGTTGCAAATGATTGTTTTAGTGGAAAGTGTACAATACTTCATCACTACTGTACAAGATATCAATGCTAAACATTCCTTCCTGTGTCTCAGTCTTGTCATTTCCTACACTACTTGTTGGAAAGGGATATTCGTTAAAATGCGTATAAATGAATTCGTAAACGTGACAACTGACAGCTCATAAACCTCTGTTTTTTAAACTGCAGTTAGGGAATGATATTGTGATACAACACCTAGGAAGTGCATTGTAAACGACATTCACCACAGCATACTTATGCTTCTTCTTCTATCAGTCAATTTTAGGTTTCTTAAATAAAGACAGGTTGTCTAAATTAGTCTTTGCTACTGTATAACCAGTTACACTAGGCATACCACTGGGTAAGTTTATCTTTTTATGTCTTCGCAACATCCATCATGGTTACCTGAAGGAAAAAGGATTAATGTGCAGTTCACAGTTTTAAGCTAAGACATTTGGTCGGTATTGAACACTGAACAAATGAAAATAAACATTTACCTTTTTGTCTGTAATCTACTCCTTATTTTATAAAAGTTTTTTTTCTGCCTCCACTGAAAGTTTTTATAATATATATAAACAAGCCAAATGTGTATGTTCTAGGAAAGTTTGTATAGTCTCTTCTCTTACTCTTGGTTATCCACAGCCTAATTCATCGTTCATAGAGATAACACCTGTTTGTGTTTTGCAATATTTTCATCAATGTTTCATACTGCGGTTCAAGTAAACTTGAATGACCGGTAACTTTGAAGATGACCAATCGGGTTGAGGATACTGAAGCAAAAGTCATTCACTACGTCCATCTATGGTGTTGTCATGTCGTTATGTAGTATGGGTTTCTCCCATCAAGTTATTGCCCATGAGAAGCAGTTCATTAATCACACAATGGAGTGCACACAAACAGTGTTGAAAATATGTGTAGTCGTCTTAAAAGGTTCCTGAGACCCTTACCAGGATCATGGGATGTTATTATGGTCTCATATGGTTGAGTGACAATATAGGTGATAATGGAGATGATAAACCTGTTGAAAACCTACATATTTTTATTTCTAATGTGATACAGATCTATAAATTGTAAGTAAAGTACCATTTTCGCTAATAACCCGATGCTCGCACGAGTATGTACAATCAGTGTAAGCACCAGTTAATCGGTGTACAATGGTTTGACGAGACACGGTGGTGTCTGTCAACAGACCGATACAGCCGACTGTGCACTCGTGTCCATCGGGGGTAGTGACCATGTGCACGGCATCCCCTCGTCGTCGGTCTGCCGGCGGGAAGCTACACAAGTAGTGCATCTCAAACGCCCCAATGGACATGGCCTCGTCTCGATTCGAACTCGGATCGCTGAATTCAAAGTCTAGAGTGCTCTCCATCTCTAATCCAAATAGATTTGGAGAACTGTCTACTGGGAAGCCAGTGTAAATACAACCAAGCGATGGTAACGTGTGAGGAATTCACATGACAGTCAGTCAAAACTGTTGATCATTGAAGTGAAATTAAGATGTGGTCAGCAGTCACCTCTCGTAGCTCAGTTGGTAGGGTGCCTGGTTGGAAACCCGATGGTCACTGGTTTAAATCCTACCATGATCCAAATTTTTATTTCATCTTCAATCATCAACTGGTATTTTCTTATTCTTATTTCTTGAATGAAACCTTTTTATTAGTTTAGAATGAATGCAGCTGGTTTGAAGATAGATTTTTGTTTTGTTTTACTTGTTGCTTTCGCATGCCATTTAAGCCTGTAATATGATTTATAGATGACGTTCATCCATATGTGCTTTTTTTCATTAAGAAGTAGCAATTGTATTTGTCAACTTTGAGAATGTATTTCTATTTCAGGCGATGAATCATGTATTCAAGCGCATGTAATGTCTGTTTCAAATCTTGTCACTGAAGTTGGCTACTTAATTGCACTGGGTTGTTCTGATGGACGTGTACGCTTATACGATTCACCAACTGGTTCGATTATATTCACCTGTTCATGTGTCAATTCTATTACTGGTCATTCACCTTTACCAGTATCTATTGTATTTCCATCAGTTATTGAACAACAATCAGATACGATAATATCTAAACTGAACTTTTCTGTATTGTATACAAATAGCCAATTAAGGGAGTGGTCTGTGTCTTTACAACAACCAAATAATACAAATGAATCCACTGGTTCTGGTAATACAACATATCCTCCAGCAGTGCATATCAACGTTGAACTCAATAAATGGCTTGTTAAATTTTGGCGTACTATGGGCAATGAAATTTCACGGAATTTAGGAGTATTTCATAGTGTGGATTATATTGGATCTAGTAAATGGCTTTTAGCTTCAGATCGTTATTTGGTCATTATTATTGCTCATAAGGTAAGTGTTTTCTGTCTGAGTAACTAAATTATATTGAATTTGGGGGTTTGTGGGGATTTAGAGATATTTCAAGTTGATATTCATCATATACTGACATCATTTGGAGGAACAATGAAAACTTGGGGGCACTGGACAACTGCTCCGTCCTAGTATGGGACTCCTCAACACCGCTCACCCACGACCCTGCGAAGGTTCGAACCCGGGACCTTCAGGTTCCGTGACCAGCACGTCACCATTGATCCATTGGGTCGGAGTCCGATGGTCTATATTTCCAATTTCTGTCAGTTCACAACAGCGCGACCGCCACCCAATGTCATCGTTGAGTATTTGTCCTCACAGCCACCAGGTTTGCCCCACTGGTTACGACTTCTCACTGGAACTTCAGAAATCACCTCTTGAAGCCAGCCACCAGTGAGCACTAGTTCAGTTGAATTTAGGAGGTTGTGGGGATTTACAGATAATTCAAATTGGTGTTGATCGTAGACTGACAGAAGTTGGAAACATAGACCATCGGACTCCGACCCAATGAATCAATAGTAACGTGCTGGCCACGGAACCTGAAGGTCCCGGGTTCTATCCCTGGCGGAGTCGTGGGTGAGCATTGCTGAGGAGTCCCATGCTAGGACGAAACAGCTGCCCAGCGCTTCCAGGTTTAAACTGTTTCTCCAACTAATGTCAGTCTACGATGAATACCAAGTTGAAGCTAAATTATAACCTGAGTGTTGTTGTTGTATATTGAACTTGTTTGTTCACCTGTATTTTATTAGCCGTTCTTTATTTATTTATTTATTTATTTGAATCTTCAAAATAAGGTAGTTTTCAGAACTACTTGGTTGTAATTTGCCTTAATTACGAATAACTGTAATGATTCTGAAGTATTTTACCCTACTTTACCTGAGTAACTATCTGTTTTTATAGTTGTCTGTATGATTGGTATTCATCATGGACTGACATCAGTTGAAGAAGCATTGGTAACTTGGGAGGATTGGACAGCAGCTCCGTCCTAGTGTGGAACTGGAACTCCTTAGCAGTGTGCACACATGACTATGCCTCGCTAGGGACCGGACCCAGGACTATTAAATCACTGGGTTGGAATCCTACTTCTGTCAGTGGGTGACTTATGGTTATCTGATTATATATTTACCTTTTATTCATTTCATACTTGGTACTAGCATTTCATATTGGCACGAATCTTACAACCATATGGTTGCGACCAAGGAAATTTATAAGTTGAAATTCTCCTGTAATCTGACGGGATTTACTGCTTACTGATGATGCCTAGGTTACCATCATCATCGGTTGTTTAAACCCGCTAATTTTTTTCATTAAAATTGGGTGTGAAACATGTGTGAACAACAGTTTAGTAGTTACTACACTTTATATTTCATGATTTCCTCTATCTTATATAGAGTTTTTTAAAATTTTCTTTCCAACTTTAACATTTTAGAATTATAAACCGGGTATGCTTAAAAAGATCCTTCAACGAGACAGAGCTGCTGATCAAGACTACTGCATGTTTATTTCCAGAAGTGTTAAAGTGAGTCTTATTGTGTCGTGCTTTATTCAGACATCATTAGACTAAATTTAATTGTAGATATACTTTTCAAAATTTGGGTTGATAGCGCAGGTGAAATTATTGTAGCCATATCAAAAAGTTTTCAACAAGATATACCCATCTAATTGATGACATTCATTGGAGATTTTCACTTTTGTATTGCTTCTGTCTTTTTGAATAGCTGACTGACTGATTGAAAAAATCAACGTAGAGCCTTGCACACAGGTGCATCAGCTAAAGTTGCCGCACTTCACAGTAGTACACAAAGAACAGGTGGATAGAAAAACAGTGAAATCAAAGTAGACAAAATTGTTTGAAAGAATAAACAATCTGATGATGAAGGTGTTAGTGTGAATATTCAAGCGTTAGATGTCAAGAAGTAAATATATCTGCGTCTATGTGACTAATTTTCAGCCATATCATCAGGAGTCCTCATCTACTGATTCTTTTCGTCTCGAGGACAAGAACCACGTGGTCTACTATCTTTCTACACGGTTCAGACCAACAGAAAGAGACTTCATCGACTGGTGCCAGTTCTTGGTCTGACCAACTTGAACTCTCTTGCAATCTAATCCAGTTTCCCCTAGTATGGCATGTTGATGTGGGCTGTGGCTCGGCATACGCAATACATGTCCAAGCCAGCTTAGTCGGCTAAGGTTCACAACCCCATTAATCGACTTGCCTAGTACCCTTCGCCTCACCCCAACATCGCTCACATGGCGATTCCATCAAACGTGAGTAATGCTACAAAGACACCTGGGATCAAAACCCTATAATCGCTTCATATAGTCTACTTTTAACGGCCATATCTCATAGCCGTATAACAGATCAAAACGTAGTGCACAGCAGTATACTCGTCCTTCGATAGTTCTTCGGATATCTCGCCGATCGGCGTCATACATGACACAAGTTGTCAAATGTCAAATGAGCCTTCCGTATCCAATCTGAGATTGGAATAGAATGAGATCGTAAATAAATATCCACATATTTAGACTTTCCGCACCAATTATAGTTGATTGGTTCTATTTATTTTGACCTGATCATTAGTAGGTGAATATCCAAGCCATTAGAACTTCTTTTAGCAAGCGGTTACAGGAAATCAAAATATTTTACGCCGTTTGGTGTATTGCCATTGTCTTTTCGTATCTTCTCAGTAAAAATTGGATGCTACCCAAATGTGTTTATAAAAAGGGCCTAACCTAATATTTATTCAGTGGTTTGCGTGCCTTTGATGGCCAGCTTAGCAACGCTTTTAATAACTAATTTTGTATCTTCATTTCATCTAGAAGTGACTTTAAAGGCTACGCTAGCAACTGCTGAAATAACCAATCAGATCTCTGAATTCCGTCTGGGAGGGTAGTTTTTCATAAAATAAAGAAAAATCATTGGTTATCTCAGTAGTTGTTCGGGTTACCTTTAAGGCTACTCTCGTCTAAAAAGTTAAATTTTTATAAAGTAGAGAAGTCATTTCAATTTGATCATCCTATAACTTTCCAAGTGTGACTTCAAAGGCCAACGATTGAGATAACCACCTATAATGTTTCGCTATTCTGACTTGGAAGGTAGTTTTCCATGCAATAGAGAAATGTGCTTGGTCATTCCAGTAATTGCTAAGGTGTCCATTAGAGTTACTTGCTTTTCAATGCGTTCCAGGCTTTCAATTTTGTTATTGTATACGTGTAAAATGTAGGACTGGTTGACGCACATCTTTTATTCAGTCACCCATCAGTATTTCCAACAACTCTGTGATAATTAATATACAGGCAATATCGAGGCATCCGCATAGGAGGGAGTCCATATGCCAATAGAGGTTGAACAATTCGATCCAATAAAAAAAATAACGGAGAATTATGAGTATATGATTTGATTAACTAGTCTCTTTTTTATGAGTGTTTTCTTTACATTCGAATGTTGCCACTTATAGTGGTTAAACTGTTTTGTTTTCGGGGATTTTGATTGGAAGTTTAAAATCTAACTACCTTTGTAAATGAACTGATTCATGATATTATTAAATGAAGTTTTTCATATTATGTATTTATACATATGCTGCCCTAAGTGTTTAGAGTCATAGTAGTAGTTCATAGCCTTGGTTACATCGGTAGGTTGACATCATTGGCAAAATTTATGTTATCAAGTTAGTTATTAATCGAAACAAGGATACTACCAGATTCTTTTTCTATGATTCCAGTTTTAGGAAAAAAGAAAAATAATGAGTGCTGGAAGGGATGAGACAATACCATTACAGTCTTTACACTTGCTTTGTTAGTGTCATCTGTTATATTTGTTATAAATAGTACACTTTCCATGACCAGATGGTTAATATTTAAGTAAATTGTATAAAGCTTATTCAACTTGAATCTGTCGTCTGTTGTAGCGTTGATTCACTTAGCCGCAATAATCTGGCTTGTGACTTGTTCTAGTGACGATTGTTCGACTTTACTCGTTATTTCAGTAGTGTAGTTGTTGGTGAAGATGAACTACTGTTATGGGATATACCTTAATACTTCAGTTAGTCAGTATTAACTTTAGACCTTGCATTATTGCGTAACGCTCCAAGTTGTCACATTCTATATCAGCAAGCAAATCACGATAAGAGGAACACATGTAAAAGATTGAGAAGTAAGGAGCAAGGTAATTAAAGATAGTGGAAAGTCATAAAAACAAAGGTGGTGAAATAATAACAAAGCTTGACATGACGATCAAGGGAAGATAATTTGTAGGTGAATCTGCACCAATGAGATCAGTTCTGAACCATTTCAACTAGACCCTCCAAAAACCTATTTCTGTTGTCGTGTGTGTCTCAGTCAGTAAGTTTGTTTTTCCATACTCTGCTCAGACCAACAGTCAGACACTTCATGAGCTGACGATACGTTTCATGTTGGTCGCCTCTGACCTTTATCCTTCCATCTAACATTACATGACACGACAGAAGGTTACACATCTCCCAGCCATTTGAGTAGGTAAAGGTTCAATACATTATCAACTGAGTTTTCTCTTCTGCCTAAAACTCCACACCTGATTACTGCATTACTGACGTAGTGGTTGCGCTACACAGCCTATGCAACGAAGGCGACGGTGGTCAAACACCTGAAGTCTTTTCATATCTTTAATCTTAAATGTCCAAGTTTAACAACTATGTAGTCGAACAGAGCGCAGTAGATTGAACCCTTAATAAACAATGGGATATCATGGGAGGACCATAAATGGGCTTAGGTTAGCGATAGCCAGTTGAGCTGTTTGTATCCATGCGGGGGTTTCGTCGTTCACTGACCCACTAGAGCTGATTTGAATTCACGGGTAAGCTAGGTGGTCAACGTGCTCAGCCATTTCACTCCCTATTGTTAGACAAGGTACTAGCGAAAACCAATCCTGATGCAACAATTTGCATTTGGGTGACGGCCGACGCATCTCAACCATTCTTAAAGTGCTACTCAAGGAATCCAGAAGACTCTGCATCTTGTCAGCACTTTTACCTAAGAGGACTATGTCATCTAGGTACTCTAGATCTATATTAAAGTCTCCTGTTAAGTTAGATGAACAAGAGAGACATGTCAATGATCCTGTTCATGATAGAATCAATTGAGAATGAAGGGAATAAACATTTCTGACGAATACAACTCGACATATGCAGTTCACCATATCCACTATTACATCCATGGGTGTTCGAGTACAGTATTTAACAGTGAGATGTTTTTACACGAAATCTGTTTAAGTGATAGTGTGCCATAAGATCTAAAGGAATACAGCGAGTGTTGCCGTCGGTAAGTGTTCCAATACTGTCGATACATCCGCAACCAGTTCTCTAACCCATGTGGTTTCCTTGGTTTTGTTGCTTCCAAGCTTCACTTGGACATCGAATGATTGTAGAACATGGAATCTCGAACACTATGTTCGTCAGATTGACTCCAATGTAGTTATAAAAAGAGGATTTCTTGCGTTTCTTGAAGACGGTCAGTCGGATAATAAAACCAATCTGAGGGAATCATATCCGATTCCCTTACACTAGCCAGCACTTCATTTACTCTAAACAATTATCATGCGCTACCATCTTTAAATATCTCTGGTACTAGTCCATCTAGTCACACTTTCCTTTCTTGTTTTAGGCTACACACAAGCCTCTCAATTTCTGTCTCAATGTTTCATTCAGAAACCGATTGGATAGTGGGAAGTCAGAGACTAGCTTAACACCAGTTGAACTGTTCCTGTCTTTAGTCTCACTAACTATTGACTTTTATGCTCTGTCTTCCTTGATCAGTCCAGATACTTTTACCTATCGCTGCTGTCTTTCCCATCTCTCTAGCCTTCACTACTCAACAATACTCATGTTCATTGCTTAAACTCTTTGTCAGTTACTTCCGCTTCTGGTTGTGCTTGGAGCCTACAAAATTGCGTCCGCATGCCTCCATTAATTCTGACGAAGCTGCTGAGATTCACTGAGACATTCCAACTTTTTTCTGCACGCCACTTATGATGGTCTCTAGTACTTTTTTATTTTTTATAGCACAATGGAGATGGTATGGATTTTCTTCAGGATGAGTTATGTTATGTTCCAATAACTATGTAGGGAGTTTCTGTCTAAAAGCAGTCTTTGTAGCCTCATCACTGGGCTGTTCTGGGAACGGTCTTCAACTTCTAGTCTTCCTACTACCATTTAAGGGCGCATAAAGTCATTCTTCTGCCAATGTACTCCCACTTTTCATGGAAGTCCTTCAAGGGGAGTGGGAATTTTTATTCCATCTCTTCAGCGATAACAGATAGCAATATAATTTCTGTATACGCATCACTGAGTTGTGGTCAGTTGACACCATATCAGACAATGTCTTCCTTTATGTTTAAAGTAAATGCTGGCCAAAAAATAGGTGATTGTCTGAAGCGATCATCGTTATGTGGTCGTTTAGCTGTGGTTTCGAAAATTTTTTTTGTTTAACTTAGCTTACCCACTTGTGTACTGAAATCACCTGCTACAACAACTGGATTCGAACTGTTGACTTTCAATCGAAGGATGGATAGTCATCGGTTAAGATCATCTCCTCTGACTTCTTCCGAACTACAGTCAGTGGGTATATGAGCAGACATTACAGAGACAAGGGCGAGTTTTATTATTCGTTATAGTCCCTTTTGTACAATTCTGTGTGAAAGCGCACAGGTGACTGTCAACTGGAATCCAGCTGAACAGTGTACTTTCTGCTTTATTACTTAATGCTGGACCTACACCTACAAGACCCGGAGACTGGGGGTGCTGTTTCGTGTACTTGGATAACTAATCAAAGGTTGGTTGGCTAACAGAAATTACAGACATGCGAATATTGACAGAGAGATTTGAAAAGCTAGAGGACAAAGATAGTCTGAAAGGATTTGAGTACTGATGGAGATGTGAACTGAACTATGGCCTATCCCTAGCTTATTTGAAGGTTTCCCACCTGATTTTGAAGGTTCCTTGCACTAGATAGTGAGTGGTATGAACCTACATCGTCTCGTTTTCTTGATCTGATCTTGTATTCAGCAGACTGCCTCTCGACTTTCTCTAGATTGGAATAAAGTCGATATGATTTCTAGTATGTCCTGATGTCTGGTAAAATCCATGTTGCTTTGTGAATATCCTTGTGTTTGTACACACTGTTATCATAGCGCATCTATTTACCCTATGACAGTAACTGCTTTTCATCATAGTAATTTCCCAAAGGTCTGGCGTGGTTGATCCTCAAGAGCTGAATGTTGCTGTCCGTATAGCTCATTCGGTTATTGTGATATACGAGTCTGACCTGGCGTTCACTGCATTTATTTGTTTATTGTAGTTCACACTATATAATCTAATAAGATTCTTCATAGTGGAATCGCACTCAGAGGCTCTAAGGATAGAATCCCAGTTTACATACCTTCAAAGATTCTTATTTATTTGAAACTGGGCGCTGTTTGTCTTATCTGGTGTTATTGACACCTTGACGATCACTGGTGTGTAGTAACCGTAGTGACCACATTGAAAGCTAACATTGTCCCACTAGATTTCATTTTCTCAGGGTACTGTCTTCAGGTTCCCTTGTTTTTCTGTTTTGTTTGGTTCACTAATAACTCCCATCTTGGTTTTCAGCGACCTACAGGTTTTATCTGTATCATAAATTACATATGAATGTTAAGAGCTTGATATGTGATGCTATTTTTGTAAATATTAATCTACTATTTAGAATTTGTTGGCTTTATTGAAAATAAAGCACTTAATTGCGGTTTATTCATCAGTCTTTTGAGGTGTGTGCACTATCTTCTGTTTGTTTATTCTCAAATTGAGCTTGTGACTCAATGATGTGGACATTTTCATCTAGACTGTTGATTCAAAGACTTGAACTCTACAAATACTGATTTGTATATGTAGCGTATTTCATCCGTCAACATAGCGTGAGTATGGCTCATTTTACTGTAGGTGTAATCATGTTATTATAGATTTATCTATTTATTTTTGAGATGAATATAGATTTTTAACTTGGAGGGTAGTATTCATCATGGACTGCCATCATTTGGGGAACAGTTGAAAATCTGGGAGCACTGGACTGGACACCTGTTTCGTCCTAGTATGGGACTTCTCGGCAAGTTTTTACAAGAGACTTTATTCATTTTTTTCACTGTTGTCGGTCAGAATATTTTTATTTTGCGATGTATATCTTGGTGATCATGTTGCACTGAGTGTATTTTCACTTTATAAATATATAAAATGATGATAATTTTCATTTATATGTATAAGATTAAGTTTTGATATTTTTCCACCATCCAGAGTATTCTTCAAGCAAAGGTCCTGTCGGAATCAGAGATTGCAGTTATTTCTATTCATTCTGAAAACATAGCTCTACAGCTAGCCTCACCGCTGCAAAGGAAAGTGTTCGGAACTTGATGCATATATATATATATATGCTTGATGTATATATTACTTATATATCTGCTTTGATACTCATATTCGCTTTTTTTTCACCTCGAATTAAATGATAACTTAAACTTTTGTATAACACATATTATGAGGCAGCTTTAAAGGATGTAATCGTTAGATTTGTAAAGTCAAATAATCCCACTGTGTCTGCGTTTTTGTTTCTTGTGGTTAATTGACACTGGTTGCTTACATAGAGTGGGAATACTGTACTGTTAGCCGGATGGTGTTAGTCAATACCTCTACGTTAGTAACAAATGCATATATACATTTGTCTCAGTATCTTGTAAATGGGTTTTCTTACGTCTAATCATCAATAAACAGTTCACGTAATTCAGCTGCACAAATGTGATTTTAATCCTCTTCAGGTGTTCAAAAATTGTCCTCATGCGAAATTGATAGAGGCACATGGCAATCACTAATTCTTCGTACTTGTAGAATACACATAAGTGCGAAACCAGATAGAAACAGTTTATTTGACATACAGTGTATTTCATCTAGCTGGCAAAAGGATTGTGTACGAGCAACGTAATAGGACAAGGTATCAAATGATGTGAATTCTTCACGATATTCCTTCATCTTAGCCAGTTCGTTAAAACTATGTAGGTGACCACGAATGTTAAATCTCGTCGAACCGTAGGGTAATTACTTGCCACTGAAGTGTTAAGATATTTGACTTCAATAGACAGAAAGTTTCAGATGTAGCTTTTAGGTGTATAGAACTGCAGTCTTAGGAATATCGGTGGTAGTCTAAGTACTAGTCAACTTTTTTAAAAATCAAAGTAGCCTGACATATGATCACCGAGTTGTTCGGATGGTGATTAAAGTTTTACAGTAATGGGTTATGTGCGATATGTGAATGATATATTTACCATGTTGAAATGGTGCCACATCGACAGTTACTTCACAAATGTGAACTCAGTAATGCGTGCAGTCGAAATCACTTGTGAGATGGAAAATGAATAACAATCAGTTATGTTACATTGTTAAGTAAAACAACAGAATGTGGTTTTGCATCTCTCGTCTATAGCAAATCAGCACACTAGCAAGTATTTAGACTTCAGGTGATCTCATTCAGTGTCAGTTAAAGTGGGTTTAATGAAATGTGTAAGTAATGAATCTAAAAATCTCACTAGTCAAGCCAATGACCTGAATAAATAATTTGAGCATAGAGCCTTTAGTCAACCGCTAACAGCAAGAATCTATCAGGAAATTTGTAAAAGCACCTAATAAGCAAAGCAGTAGTATGAATAGTAATGGCAAGAAGTATGCAAGAGTTCAGGAATGTCAGAAGCTTTACGAAGAATTCTCAATAAGGTTGCACTTAGTATGATATTTAGACCTAAATACTCAGTCAGAGGTCAACTCTATCAGCTTATGATTCCTACTGACCCAGTTGAATTAGGTAGGTCGGTATACCAAATACCATGTGATTGTGAGGTCAAGGACGTAAGTCAAACTAGGCGGTATGAATCAGTCAGATCACCGAAGCATAGGAATTTAGCCAAATGTAGATTGATCGAGATCAATAAAGTAGAGAGCAGAATCAGCTGTCGAAGTACATACTTTAACAAACAATCATGCTATAATGCAGTTCTACAACAGTCCTATGTAGTTAGGTGGGAAGAGAGGTTGAATGCAGAATTTTTGTTTATAGAGCCAACACCGAGTATACGGAGTAAGAATGAGATAACACCTATACAGGTGCGAAAAAGATATGCTAACACAAACGAAGAATGCAAAGTGTGCTGTGAAAATCAGGTCACAAAATTCATTTGGTTACTTTGATATGATTATGAGTAATAATTTCTGTTATTGACTTCATCAGGTAAACAGTACTTTTTCACTGTGGCCAAACCAACTACAACGTTGACCTTTGAATCACATCCTAACACAGTGCTTAGGTTTTAAACTTATATTGACAAATCAACTTTAAGTATGTAGCATACCTCATGCTCTTATTTTGTATGCTTCTGAGAGACAGGACGCTATTGTTTTGAAACGTGGTCCTGGTATTCGAATTTTTATGGAGAAGTTCAGAGCTGTTTGGCAGTGGATTGGTACTTTATCTCTGGTGATCGACTTCTGTCAACTTAAAATGATGAGGGAAGGCGCTCTGACAACCGTAACGTAACGAACTGCATCTTATTCTTTATCCTGATGTTTTTAGGCGTTTACTGTACACCCGTATATACTATCTTAATGAAACAAGCAACCCTAGTGTGAAATTTCTATGCAATAATGAGTCAGCCAAGAACCCAGCCTACTGAAAACCAAGACTAGGCACTAACAATGAAGCATTATTATGATGCAAAATAAATCTTTACCTGAGGCAGACACCAGGGATGGTTTGTGTGGTAGGAACGAAGGTAGTCTGTTCTTGTGGTAAATACTGCTATTATGGTGGGAAACCGACGTGTAACGAAAGGCATTTTTCAAGGCGGGAATTAATTAGTAAAAATTACTGGTGGGATTATTTCGAAAAAAACATGCTTTGTTGGAAATAATGCACTTCAAATACAGAGAGAGATGGTAACATGCAAACCAGGTAATTTATCAGGAACTGTCAGGTTATTTGTGTTTTATAAGCTCAAACCGGGAGAATATCACGGCAGTGAGTGTTTAGGACAGTGTAAACGGAAACGGTCCAACAACAGCGTATTCAGTCATGGCTTTGACTTTCGTTCCAATTGATCAGGTTAAAGTCACGTGGGCGGTGTTTAGGGATATATGATGCAAGCGCTCTCCTGAATAAGTAGCAGATGAAGGTGCCAGCATTGCTGACAGAATCTGAGTGTTGAATCAACAGCCATCTTTAGGTTTGAGTCACTTCTGACATTAAGGACCTAACAGCACTAACTCCGACAAAGTTACTGCTGTCGACGGACAAGATGGTAGGGATCAAGGGAAGATGTTATAGTGATAGGTTTCCCAATAGGTGACAGCAAGATAAGTATCTTACGGAAATATTTTGGGAATTCTGCTCCAAAGGGTGCACTCCTTCCCTACAGCAACATCATAGGTGGACACTGTAAGACGACCCAATGTCCAATATTGCGGATGAGAACAAGTGGTCTGTGGCAAAGAAGGGTTTGTCAGACAAGCTTAAATGCGAAAAGTTCCGAAAGAAATGGGAACCCGAGGCGCGATGGATTAGGGGTTCATGGGTTAAGAGGACAAAGTTCAGGTAGGGGACTTCCTGGTAAACTGATCTAAGACCTAGGGACCACTTGGTAAGATATTTATGCCTGCAAGCGTCTATTTGGTGTGGTGCAAAAACACTAAAGCTGTTTGGTTTAGAGTATTGTGTGTGTGTTTCGATTTTTTTCTTGCAATGCACTCGAAAACATCGACCATTCGTTTTGTTCAACTTCATTTGACTCGTTTGTTTAACAATTTTGAGGCTCTTGTTTCGATTGGTGACACCACAGTATTTTGTTTTTGGTCAGAATCTGTAATGGCCTTAAAAGTGGCGGTCCGTAAGTGTTTAGGATTTGTCCTGGTGCGAACTTGACAGACGCAAAGACCAATCACTAATTATTCGAACTTGTTATATACCCACGAATACGAGACCAAGGTAGAACACGATAGCGTAGTCGGATGGAATAGTATATTTGGATGGTTATGCCAAAATACCGATGCGTTCCAACTAACTGGCTAGAGAGTCGAATACGAGCAATGCAACGTAACACGACAGCGTGCCAAATGGCCAGGATGCTTGACCGGGTGCCTTCAGCTTAGCGAGTCCAGTTAAACTATCAAGGTCAGCATCGATGTCGAAAGTCGTCAAACCCTAGGCTACTGATTTTGGGGAAGTGTATGACGCTACAGATCACTCCCCCCCCCTAGTGGGTTCGTGAGGACCCTAAGACGATACCAGCCGGAAGTAAAAACCCAGTGGTTTCTCCACTGGTAAAACTCTTCCGATGGGCTGACTGCGTGAGGTGGCCCCTGGTTGTCTGAACCTTATTCTAGGGTGTCGTGGCGATTAAATAAATAAAATACAATAAATGGAATTGTACGTCGGTCGCGGTCATCTGTTCCTTTCGACGTTCCGTCCAGTGCTCGTTGCACCTGGAATATAAATAAAAGTCTTTAATACCACGAAAACGTTGCCTAAAAATGGGAATTATTTATATATCAACATATCGAAAAATAAAAATTTACGCTTATCTTTACCGTTTTTTTTTAAAATTTCATTACATGGTAAATAAAAATTGATATAAAAAGGCAAAGTATACGAGGGTTTGTATTGATGTATCGGGTAGGAGTCCGGAGTTGTTTTGGCGTTGAGCCTTCGGTAATCACCGGTTGGACGCCAGTCACTGCTATCCTTTTGGGAACCATGTGCAATGGCGATGCCCAAGGATTGTTCGACGGTCTGATAATGCCCAGGTCGAGCATGTGGTCGAATTCATTTTTCGCCGTTTGGAGCTTATCGGGGGCTAGACGGCGCGCTTTGGATGCCACAGGTGGACCTGTGGTTGTGACGTGATGCATAACATTGCTGGTTATGCACGGAAGAGTGTGCTTCGGTTGCTGTAACTCTGGATATTTCTCCAGAACTGCCTGGTAGGACGCGTCGTCTGATTGTTTAGTCCTAACGATGGCTAAACTCGGACCTACATAGGTGGTGCCGCCAATGGATAACTTTGTGCTGTTATCTATCAGTCGTCGACGGCGAGCATCTACGAGTAGATCGTAATGGTTTAGCAAATCTATGCCAATGATGGGCATAGAGACGTCTGCCAGGAGGAAAATCCAGTGGATAGGTTTGCGTAAACCTAAGTTGAGGTAGGCATACCGTCTCCCGAATGTCGCGATTGCCTTGCCGTTGGCTGCTTGAAGATTGAAGGATGGGTCAAGATGACGCTCCTTTGTCGTTGCTGGAAGAATGCTAACTTCTGCGCCGGTGTCGACGAGGTAGCGGACTTTCGTTTTAATATCCGTGACGTAGAGCAAACGGCTTTTTCGGCCGGCTACGGTTGCCGTGAGCACGTGCCGGCGTGACCGTTTCCCGAGTTCGGGTCCTTCTTAAAACGGCATGGTTTACGACATTTTCTGGCTTCATCCCCGTAAGTGTTATGAAACCAGCACCATTCAGGGTTTTCCACCCTGTTGGGTTTCGTTTTAGGGCTACCACACGACTTGCTGCGATGCGCCAAGGTGCGTTTCCGTGAAGTGCTACGTGATCTAGGACTTCGAGATCGTAGCAACCGTCTCACAGAGTTGCACAACTTGGTCACCTCTGAATCCTGGCGCTCTGTTTTGTCGCAGATAGAATATACGTTGGAGACTGGTCTGCTGGATATCTCCAGTATTTTATCTGCTGAGGCTGCCAG